AAAACCCAAGTATGTGTTGGATGGGTTGTCGTCTGGTTGACTGTAGTAAATTACTGACTCGATAGTTGATAATTTTACCAGTCCACACCCATTCCTTTTGCTGTCGCGGATACCCAGCTTTTCTATACCATATCTTCTCATTTCTTTGACTACCTGGGCAGCCTTCCGAGCCTCGTACATTGTGCTGACATTTCGCATCCCCATTCTTATTCTTGCTTTCACCGCCTTTCCTACTCCAGAGAAGAATAAGTTTGTTTTTTATATTTCCAGTATTTTCAGTCTCTGTAGCAGTTTGATTGGTCTTGTGATGTAGGGTTGCTAGCCCCACACCCAACCCTCCCTCTTTCCCGAGCTTAGGACCAACTAGAAAAGTAGCGAGCTAGCAAACTAGGCGAGGTTGTAGATGGTCAAGTGGTAGAGTCATTTTTCTGCTAACTCCCGATAGGAAGGAATACCAGTAATTGAGTCACAGCTGGTTTGACTGACTCACAGGCTAAGAACGGTGTAGAGGAAAGAAAAAGCGTCTCGAATTTTGTGTTATTCAGAGCTTTTCACAGACATCTTAGTGTGCAAAACAAACTATCTTGCTATTGAAACATCACATACTCAGTGAACAACATCAGGAGTGAGCCTCCCAACAGCAGCAGACAAGGAGACTATTTTGTGTAATAACAGCAGGGACAATTTGCCACATATGAAGATGGCTAATTAGCTGAAGGATAAATAACCGTAACAGCTGTCCAAAAGGAGGTATGAAATGGAATGGATGTAGATCTGTAACTCAGATGAATTGTTTTCTTGTGGTTGCATTCCTTTACCTGGATGGTTTAGTTGCGAAGCTACCATTGACTTCCTAGACCTCAGCTTTAAGACTGCCTCTGCAACAAAGCAATCTGGCCAGAAGAATTCAACTAAGCCTAAAAGAATTTTCAAATATCAGTAAGTCAGTGGCATGTTCGTGGTGGACAATTACAACATAGTTAGCGGAGTATGGTAAAAATGCAATCTTACTAACGAAGTAATGAGTCCGGTGCTTTAGAAAAGAATAGATAAAAGCTGATTCCAGATATTCGGATAGCCTAATCTAACCAAAAGCTACTTGCAGTTCCAAACGTGATAGAAATTAGGTGGCCCAAGGAAAAGTTAATTTGTTCCGAATTCCGGACTTGTGATCGGGTTATTGTCAGATTCCGACAAAGTAAAACGACTAAGAAACAGTATCCTCAATATCTGTCAGAAGTGGCATCAGTTGAAAAATGCTGTTTGGCCTGCTGGTTCAGCAGATTGACAGTTTTTTACTGAGGAATTTGATAAATGTAAGGGTGTGTGGAGATGGTGGTATTTAGCGAGAGAGAAATTGACCGCTGAGAAGCCACCCCAGGTTTCCTTGAAGAAATTAGACTGTACATTAAATAGAATAAGCCTCAGGAAGCTGAAGGTAATGCTTTCTGAGAAAATAAACCACTTCCGGACAATATCCTGACTGTCAAAACCAGTGATGCACTGAATTCAAAAAAGCTCGGACATTTCTCAGGAAGAGCGATATTTTATACCCGGTTCGTTAGAAACTATGAAGAGACATCAAAGCTGCTGTATAAATGTCAGAACTTCGGTCATTACTACGATAAAAAATTACTACTTGTTTTCACTTGACGACATATACCAGTCCCACTTAGCAATTAGTTCGTTGGCTGCTTTTTACATCAAATACAGAAAGCACAATAAGTCCTTAAGAATACAAGGTTTACAACAAATTAGGGGCACAGCATCTTTCGGTCAAAATCATGAACTCTTTATCAACATGCAGGTGATGTCCTTAGATAGACAGATGGAGTTCTTGAGCATTCCATCAGTGCTTTGAAACTTTAGATTAGAAATAATCCAAGTTGAAAAATGAAGGTCTACCCATTGTCTGGGCACTGCAAAAGTTAAGAAGCAACTTGTTACACCACTGATTCCACACTGAGGCTAGTAGTGAAGGACCGTAGTGATCGAAAACAGTGAGTAAAGATGGAGTTAAGGGCTTCGCTTTAGCAAGAGAGGTAGGGGATAAGTACGTTAAAACGGATAACTTAGGAAGAAAATCAAGGGAAGTGGATGGCATTAGTTCCAAAGAGCCAACATTGTCAACATCAGGAAATATTAAATTAACAGCCCACGACCTTGTTTATTCAAAATTCTCTGTAGGTTTTCAGCGGTAGGATTTCATATAGTGGCTTTCTTGCTCTCCTGCTGAAAGACGACCATAAAGACACCACGAGATACGAAAATCTATACGTCGTTGAGATTGGCCCATAGGTTTTTGCATCAGTCGGGAACTGTGGTAATCAACTATGATCTCAGAGGAGCAGAGATGCCATTTTCACCCACCACATGTTATCGACTGAAAGAAACACAATTGACTGTAGCATTTTCTGGATGCACTGACATTCCTTCACTCAGTCACACTGTAGGCAGTCCAGAACATACTTTGTACCATTGTCATGACGTTTCGTCAGCACTCATTTTGAACCACGAGGTTGCAGGCTATTGTGACGCCTATATAAGCCAGTAAGTGGCATTCTTGGATCAACTCATGACGAGTGTAAGTGGCCCGATTTCAAAAACTCACAGCATGGAAGCAGCTGCTGCTGACAAAAAGTGAATACTGAGAACTCAGAACACGATATATGAATCACTTGATCTTAGGGACAATCAGTATTAAGAGACGAATAGTTCAAACAATTATTATTCAATGGGTAAGTGCATCAATATCTGTTTGTGATGACAGAGCAATCAACTAGTTTCAAAAGGTCAGCACAGATTTCAAATTGGCGCGCCATGACTGGGGTAGTATTCAGAAATTTTATTGTGGGTCATAAATATGATAAATTCACATTAAATCCTGCTTTTCCGCAGTGAAGAGTTTGAGATTATTCTGTAACAGCTGGATGTAAACAGGATGAGATTAGCATGAGTAAAAATATAAGTAGATAGAGAGGCTGTAGTTGACTTTAATAGCACAAATGGCAACAAGTAAACCAGTAGTCCTGCAAGTATATGATATGAAACAACTGCTAACGGTGCACCATAAAGCTTCAGCACCAAGTATCATTATTATTCGAAGAGACATACAAATGGATCGAAAGTTGTCCAAAATGCGCGAGAAAAACTAAAAGCAGCCATCTTCAAGGCCTCACAGGGTGAAGCACAGATTAGAGGTCATTTAAAGTGGGGACATGAGAGGCCTCTCCAAGAACCGTGCATTCACTGGAAAACAACTTAATTTTTCTATACATTACTTGAAATCTTCCTTGTTTGGTCTTTCCAGCATTTTCATGAAGGTGCTGGTAAGACTAGAAGGCCTGAAGCTTGAAGGATAATGTCTGAATTTTTCTTTGTAGACTGGGATAATTTTGAATCCTTCCAGACACTCAGTACACTCAACGTGAGAGGAACAACCTGTAAGCTGTAGTTGGTGATCCCATTGTGTGAGCTGACAGCTCCTTCGGAGGCCTTGGGTGAAGATCATGGCTTCCCATTGATTTTTTTGTGTCTAGTATGCTAGTAGACCGGGATGTGATGTTTTCGTCGATGTCAGAAGAATTCACGCCATTTTCCAGTGGCATGTCAAGAGCTGATGGTAAAGGCAATGAAGACTGCTGTTCGAAGACTCTGCAGAAGTAGTCTATCAGATTTCTGACTCCATTAGATGTTTTATTTCGAACGTTGGTACAAGAAAGTCGTTTCCCGGGTTGCGCCACTACATTCTATGTTATGTGAATTCTGAACTTCATCCGTGATCAACGAATTCCCTTAGTAACTTTGTTCCTGGCCAAAGTGTACAGCTTTCTGGCTCTTGATGCCCCAAGAATGTTGAGGATGTTCCAGCACTTTTGCTTGCAGCCAAGAAACCCATAAATCCTCGAGTTTATCCATGGGAGCAGGATTTTAGAAATTTTTGGGCGGACCATATGATGAAGGGTTTAGTTTCCCGTGGTGTAAAGTTGGCTGGATTGACTCCATGTAGCTTTTAAGCGAAATTCCGCAGAAATGATTGCACTAATGCTGGCCATTCATAGGTTTGGTCAGGCTGGGCATCTGAACCTATATATTGCAGTGACTGCGAACTTTGACGACAGCACATAGTGCCCAATTCCTCTAAGAGGTGGATATTACATGGGATTTGTATCTTCACTGTATGAAAAAACGGGACCAAAGTTGAAGAGGTGTGCCGAGAATAGTATTGCACAGGTTACCTGATGCACTTAACTAGAGTCAATGAATTGGAAGATTGACGATGATGTTGTGGGATATACACAGTTGACTGATGAATCACTGAGGCCTCTTCGACATTTTCGTATGAGGAAAACTCGCAGGGCATTGTGATTAGGTTTCTCTTGCCAGTTTATCTCTAGCCTCACTTTAGGAGTTCGTATGATCTACTTTCGTTCCAGAGACCTCCAATACTAGTCAAAAATGGTCACTCCCTAAGGTAGATACCGTTTTGTCCCCTCTGTGATTTAGTTGGTTGTCGCATGTGCTATATACACACAGATTGACTGGAAGTCGCCGAAATTGAAACCAACATTTCAAGTCAGTGGCTGTAGGGTTAGAAGTTTTTTATTCCTCAAATCTGGATTCAGTTTACGTCGAAATCTCGGAATAATCTCATGGGACAACCTTTTGACCCTCGAGGCCAACCGCCGACCAATCAGAACAGTTCATTGTCCGCTGACCTGGCAAACTTTTGTTGTGTTAAAAATGTATAGGTACGATACGCTTTCTACTAACGAAACAGCCTAGTACCAGTTTTCATATATTCTGCCGTTACTGATAGGACCTGTGTACTGAAAAGTGTTGAAGGTTAACTTCACTGTTTCCAATTTCGGGTGTCAGCTGTGATTCCGTGACGGCGATGAATTCTAGGTTTTCCACGTTAACAGCTTCCTTGTGACCTCAAGAAGGCTCACCAAAGTGATTAACCATGAAGCCGGCTTTTTAGCAACTGTATACAGTTAATGAATGGTTATGCCTGCTACTGTTGTAAAGAGGTAACTTGTCTAAGTTTGGTGTGGTTAGACTGAGACTGTGTTGGCTTTAGAGCGGCGGCACTTTTCCATCTTTCAACGAAAAGCGGTCTCATGTGGCCGGTTCTCCTCCATTTGACGCCACGTACCAGCGTCCTCTTTTTAAATCTTACTGGGCTGGACTTATCCGGCATGTCGGTTGAAATTTCGCTCGGCAAATTTTTTTGTCAATAATTTTTAATAAAATTTTGTTCCATGTTTTCTGGATTGATAGGAATTCTCATTTCCTGGCTAGTTATGTTGGTGTCCGCGTCATTTAATCTGGCTGCGACACACTTAGCATATTGGTTGTAATGATTAGTGTTTCATGCTGAATGCGTCAAAACATCTCTACAATAAAGAAGATGGGGTAGTTGGGGGGTAATGTCATCTACACAAATAGTTTATTTCTTGTAGAAGCTGCAGCTTTCGACATAGTGTCATTCAATGAAGACTACGTCAAAATGTGGCTATTTTCGTGGGAAGAACAGTACTATTTTACAAAAGAATGCTATCAGTACATGGTAATCACCTATAAATGCCAACAGAACGTAAAACCAATGTGTAAACGAACGGCTACGGAACTGCAATCCAACATAACCGACTAACATGGACGAAAATGACCTTTGAGCGTCTCACCCTATCAATGACCTTGAGCATGCGGGATAATTTTAGCCATCTTACTGGGGATATGACTGTTTATTACCCAACTGTGCTGTAGATAGGGCTAAATTCGTAGTGTCGGTGACTTATACAGCGACCTATGATTTATGTATATGACACTTCCCATATCTTTTTATTATAAGGTCTTCTTTTAAAGGCACCAGGAGCATTGCGTCTTGAGCTTGCGATTGGTTTCTCTCCAAGGAATCCTAGCGACTTATAAATGAATGATTCTTGTGGTATCGTTAGTATGCAAGTTCTGCCTGTCTTCCCCCTTCTATTGGGATCCTTTACAGCTCAAGAGCTTGACTGCCCCATTAAGCATCGTGGTAGCAATCTTGGTGTAGTGTTTCCTCATGGCGCAACAGTCTTCGCTGACTGAGTGTCCGAGGCGTTTGCATGACTCTTATTTTCTGCAGACCCTAGGTTGGTGAAGTTGTTATATTGTATATCATCCTATGCTGGGTAACGAAACACTGTCCTGTCACATAATTCTTCTTTGTAGTTCTGTTTTCAGAACGTATTTATATATAAAAGATGACAGTTATGATCTAAAGTTAAAAATGTTGGATTGGTGCAATAGAAAAAAACAGATTTTCACTAGACTAACTGAGAACCGAAACTACTATTAGCTGACCTTCATAATAAAGTAGTAAAGATACATCTTGAAATCATTTTACTATGATATAAATCACCTTATAGACTAGTTATGTAGCGCAAAGCTATTGAATTTTGTACAGTTTCGTTTTATTTTTCTAGACTACAATCAGGCTTAATTGTCCTTGTCCTCATTTTCGAAAGTATGGTGAGTTCATGCGCTTCGTCTGTTTTTTTGGTTTTTAAACTTAATATGTATTCACATCTCTCTATGGGTTCTTAGTCTTTTACCAAGTCTATATGTCAATATGTGAAATAGTACGTTTCTTCATGTGTTATGTGCAAATAAAAACTTCATGAATAAATTAAGCAGTTCTAGCACAGGTGACTGGTCGTAGCAGTGTTTCCCTTCATCTGTCTGAACGTTTTGCTACATACAGATTAAAAATTACCTCTTGGGTGTCTTTAAGTCCCCTCATTGGCATTGTATGTTTATCTGATATTAGGTGATGGTGGAATGTGGAGCTCGTATGTTCCCGGGAAATGTAACATCTCAGGCTTTGTACTCCTGACTGAACAGGTGCCCCGTGAAAAAAATGAACACTTAGCTGCCTGAATTGCAGTAGATCCTGGCAGTTTACGTCTTTGCAGGGTAACAAGAAGTCAACTATTTTCAAATATGGTGACATGTGTTGGACTTCAAAGGACAACTCATATAGTCTAATATTTTCTAAGCCTGCAGCCATTAATTTCTTGACATAACTTGACTTTATACTCACCTTCTGTTGGGCTCAGTCGGGGACATATTTCTGACGGCTCGTTTATTATGCGGTTGTTTCAAAAACTTGTCAGGATTTTATAAGTTCTAATGATGATGAACTGTTTTAAATCCATTCATTGTTTAATTTCCTTCTGTATTTTGGAGTCGCTATTATTTTTTGCTTGTCTCGTTTTATTTCCAGAAATACTCAGTGCCCTTCTGTCTCCTCTTCAAACTAATGTAGTCTGTTTGACGAAGTAATTCAGTCCAATTCCACAGCTATTATATGGATTTAACATAACATGACATTATTCACAATGTGGATTTATTCAAACATTCTTTCTAACAACAGAAATCTGATACTTCATCCACATAATTTTCACACATTCCTACATGTCATTTTATGTTTGTTGTTGGTCCCTGGATTGAGATGTTCCCAAGGTAAGTATTTTTGTTTATTTTACTATTACAAACATTTGTTCCACCAGTCATAAATACTTTTCTGTTAAGGTTCTTAACTTTGTTTCTGATAAACTAAAATACCATATTTATGAGCCTCAGGATCTTGGAATCGAGTAATTACTGTATGAATTACTTTTCAGGTTAAGTCGCCATTCCGTTTGACTCAGTTTTACCTGTAGGGTTGGGAAATGAAGTCTAACTGTATAGGCTGTTTAAGTTTATCATGACTTTTCCTTTATAAAAAAAATAAATGGAATTGATTTAGAGATCTCCAAGTCGCCAACTTTACTAACTTTGTGTTATTCCCTATTACTCATGAGTCTAGACTTAAATGTTGTCATGAAAGGCAGTTACCAAACTTGAGTGTTGAGATCGCGATCAATTTTGTGCCACTGGTTAGGTAATTTGAATAAGTTTGTGATCATAAGCTCTTCAAAAGCCATTAATTTCACCTATCATCTGTTTGTTGCCCGTAGGGTGGCATCGGAAAATAGGTATCGTAGATATAATGATTTTACAACAGTCTGCTTCGTTAGTAAACTTTTTATTGTCAAAATGAGGCTAGATGTATAAATTCTCGTGGCGTGAGGTGTGGGGTTGTGTTAATATACTTAGTGCAAGTGATAGCAGTCAACCTCCTAAGCACAATGTCCAGTTTTATTGTAGATAGCCACTATAAATCAAATTAAATTAGAAAAATTACTTTCGTAGGTCAACAAGTTCATACTGCTTATTACACCCACACGCTTCCACTAAGACAGGGACTTACTCCTCGTTAGTGTATACTAATGAAACCCCATAAATGAATACAACTACGTTTAAAAATTTATCAACTTCGTGTATACTTCATCTGTTGCATTTGTTGCCAGGTGGTTACTCTAAACGTCTAAGAAATGTATATCACATCTGCCTTGACTTTATGATACGGAATAATGACTCATATAAACCAGTAGCATGCATATGCTACGATGTATTTCTGAAGTCAAAGATAGTATTTTCGTCACTGCTGTTTCTGTGACGTCATCACCTAGGTTATCAGTTTTGAGCTGATGAATCATAGGTTCAATCTACACTCCGTTTACCGCTGTTGGGGAAATCGTGTTTTATCATCAACTCTCACACCATAGATATGACTCAATGCTGTATGCAAATGTGCATGTAGCTGTTGGTTAGTACTTCACTCATGCAGTGATTATATTACAATGAATAGGATATCTTTACAGATTCATTTTGTCATTTTGGATCATACTGTAGATGTGTTTAGAGTTGCAACATTTGGTAGTTTTATTTCAGACTCTCATCTACCTATTTTTATAAGCACATCAAGTAAAAGTACATATATTGACAGTGGTTACAACCTTACAATGCAAACGCACAACCATCTAGAGAATATGGTTGAGAAAAACACTCATCCTAAATCACTGATTCGCTAAACTGCAGATATTTTCCGTCTTTTGTCTAACTCTTGGGCTGAAGTTTCGTTAGATCTGCGGATTAAAAGTATTCATGTCGAGTATCTTTTGATTATAGTCCGACAAAAATAGATTTATTTTTCCTTCACGTTCCCAGTGAAACATAGGGCCTCAAGCTAGTGGTTTGAAGTTTCTGTAGCAGTTTTTAATTTTTACAGGATGGGATTGCTAGCCTAATGCCCAACATTTCCTCTTTACCAGCATTATTTCTGGCTTAGCGAGGTAAAGGAGTGCGTCTGTGGCCGGGGATCGAACCCCGGACCATGTGCATGGTCGGCGAGCGTCCTAACCGCTATGCCACCGACAAAAATAGATACTTTACTTAAATTCACCTTCGTAAAAATAACTATGAATTACATGTAATCAGTAAAGTGTGTTAAAATTCATTGTCAATTTTCTCAGGATAATGAATTATCCTGTAGTTCTAAATAATTAAGAATACTTCTTGTTGGGCGTGTTTAACCAGCTTAAAAAGTTTTAAGTGCAACCAGCACGTGTTAGCTTCCGCTGTGTTTATTATGTGGAATCTGTTTCATTACGGAGCTCCCCAATTTCGACAATTTAGGTTGGAAATAAAATATGTAGGTAGAGTTTGCAACTGAAATGTTCTGGTGACTTAAGCATCACTAAATCTTATTTTTCAAAATCTTAATTAAGTTTAAACTATGGAAAATATTTTAGACTTTAGACTAATCACTTATATTAATTGTTATTCATACAAATAAACTTGAATTGCATTAATACAATGTACAATGTAATTCTTGTCTAACATGCTTCAATCTGTTGTACTTTGATCTCCTATTCGTATTCGGATATTGGATAAATAAGTAGTTGAAACATGCTTATGTGTAGATAATTTTGCGTGCACATGTATTTTTGCTGTGTTAAAACATTTATGGTTTTTTTTTACAGAGAATCAATTTATTTGTATTTTTTAGTTAAATTTGTGTAATGCTTTTCATTCATTTAAAAAAAATGACTATATTAAATTATAAACGTACTTGGTATAGAAACATGCAAATGTTTTAACAGAGAGTACCTTAAATAAGTTATAAAATAATATTTTTGCTATTTTGGTTAACTGAATAAATTTACAGGTAGTTAGTAGTCTGTAGAGTTTAAATTATTTTTCTATTAAGTAACTGAATGCATTTGATGGTCGCACTCCTAAGCTTTTCAGTTACTAGTGACGTAACTCAAAGTTATAGTAGAGATTATAAATAACCTACCATCTTGTTCTACAAAAGATGTGAAAATCCACAAGTTTTATTATCAAATAAAAAAAATTCAGAAAATCTTTCGCTATTTGCGTATATAAAGAATAAAAACTAGTGAGTTCGATTGCTCGGGATCTTTCTAAAAAGAGCCTTTATCACAAATTTCGTTGCTTCACCTAACCAGTATTAACACCTATAGTCTGGTGAATTTTATAAAATCCCTGAAGTCTTCCAGTTGTTTGTGGACTGTTTTAGAGATCTAATCTATAGATACTGCTCACATTGAACAAATTAATGCATCCTTATTTGTGCATTCGGTCGGCTGTTTTTTCAGTCCAACAAACCTGTGATTCGAAATTTGGGAAAGCCAAAAACACTTCATTTTCGCCATCCTGTTCACTTGCTTGATATTTGTTATATGTATCTAGAAAGTGATAAACTGAATGTCTTTTCAAGGTGAAAATTGAAATCGTCCATGCTGTGTGTTAATACAAGTAGATTTCGAAGAATGATTAGTATTTTCTGGTTCAAGTTGTATGGTAAATAATTTAATTGACCTAGAATTTCTACATACAACATAATTTGACATATTTGTTATTATTGAGGTTGACATGTTTTCATTTTGAGACAAATGTGTTGTTTCACTGATTGCCATGTTTTTGTTGTACGAAATCTTATAGTATGAAGAAGAATACTTTTTCTGATATACTTTTGTTTTCAATATAATTCATAATACCTATGTGTTGGCCTTATGTAGAAGTCCTGTTTGATTTTTACATAAACTAAATCAACGAAATTTTAGGAAAAAACCCTTTTATGCTGGCAAAAGTGCTCTTTGTCTAAATGTAATTGTAAATTCCACAGTAGATTTGCTTGATGTGGATAACTTTCAAGCGACCAATGTACTTAGCTTGATTTTCTGAACATTCGTTGCGTTAAGGTTGCAAAGGATTGTTTGTCTTATGTTGATACATAACATAGTTTTCATATTACTCATACTTATGATATATATCGGCCGAATTGATTAGCACCACTTTGGGATATACGCCCCGTGAAGTGATACGTTCGAGTTAAGGGTCGTGGCACTATTGAAACATCGTTTCAAGACGCCCATGTGGTTGATCATTTTGGGTCATGCATTTCAGTAGGGAAATACAAAGTATAAATAAATATCAAAGTATACAATTCATATTAATTTGTTCATTAAATATCACACACTAAAACAGTATTATTTACTAGATGACGTTTCGAACACAATCTATTGTTCATAATCATATAAATTATCATCTCACAACTTCGAAACTTTCGTTGAAAAAGAGACGGCTCGCGTTCCTCATTAGTCTGGTAGGTAGTGCTTCAGAGTGTGAAAGAATGACTGGTGGGTTTAAGTCTCAGGATGTAGGAACATCCAGCAGACGAGTACTAAATAGTACCAAACGCAAGTCCTGGATTCTATTACAAATCACAAACAAACAAGGGTGGATAAATTTCGTCTATGGATGTGTTCTTTTATCCTCATATTTACGTAAGGTACAATTAAGAAAGTTCAGTGTAGTCTCTGTTCATCATGTATCATGATGGAGTAAAAAAAGCTCCGGAGTTGCTCATTCAGTTGACACTAATAATCAGGTAAACATGAGAGTGTGTTTTACAATCACCCAACATATTTTTATCCAAACTGCTGCAAATATTAGATACCTGTTAATTTCGTACAATAGAAACCATTTCAATTCTTCGTAGAGAAAGAGAGAGAGTCTGTGCATTCAGAAGAAATTTACGTATCTTTTGGATACGAATTTGGCTTGTCTCCTAAGTTTACATCTTACCCAATCAGTTTATGTGTATACATTACCTTTTCACTTGTTTCAATTAATTACCTATCATCCTACTGTTTTTATATAATTATTATTAACACTTGTTCAGTCAACAAAATCCTTCACTTCTTACTGCCTGTTACTATTCAAGCTATCAAGGAATAGTCTTCTATGCCATTTCAGACCTGGAAAGAATCTAATTTTAGCAGATATCCCTTCAAAACTGCTCCAGTGATCCTAAATATCTATTTAAAGTGTGGTTCAAGATTCACTGAATTGAAAGACACTGGCTATATGAATGAATACATCAGAGATAAAATAAGTCGACAGATTATTGAAGTTTGACTTCCGGAAACTGACAAACGCAATTTATAACAATAGTTATCTTTTATGTAATGTTCGTGTGTATTGGCAGAGTTTTCGTATTCACTAGTCTACAAATCCAGCATTCACCCATTATCCAACATATTCCAAGG